AGCCACTGCCCTCTGTCGCGCGGGGCGAGCCTGGGCCTGGCCGCAGGCTCACCGACAGGAAACGGGTCGGTGTGGTTTGGTTTCTTGGCCATGGAAACAAAGAGCAATGGGAGGCACAGTGGCGGCAGTGGCCTGGCCGAGAGGGGACGCAGATGCGCGGACGTGACGAGGACGGTGACACGTAATAACTGTGCCCGCAGGAAGCATGGGCCAGGCCTCTCAGTGCGGAGTGCGGTCCTCAAGTTTCTGTCCCAGGAGCGGCCCCGGAGGAAGGAGGCTGGGGTGTCTGTTTCTGATGAGTCTCAGGAGACACGGATGCTCCTGGCGGGGACACTGGCCCTGGCTAGCCCCCTCCCGCCGTCTCCAGGTGAGGGGCACAGTACCCACCTCGGTGTCTCTCCAGGTGGACTGAACATCCTGCTGGGGGCCCCTCTCTCTCCCCTGCTCTGTGACGGAAGGAGCGTGTGGCCACACCCCACGGCTGTCTGATGGCGGGAACGGTAGCATCGGGTGGCGAGCAGTCACCTGCAGCTGCTGGGATCCACCCGGGCCTCGGGCGAAGCCTACCCTGGGGCCCAAGTCTGGGCAGGAGGTCCCAGCGCCTCCCTGGGACAGGGTCACGGATGGCCTGAAAAGGCTCGGAGGTGCCACCTGGCTCTCCAGCCACCAGTGACCCCGACGGGCAGGGCTGTGGCTCGGAGGGGTCCTCGTGGCCCAGGGTGACCTACGCTGCTCTCCTGGGCCGTCGAGTTTGCGTCACGCCAAGGGACAGGGCGCCACGCAGCGATTGCAGCTCCTTTCTGCTTTCCATCTGCCCAGCACTGTCCCCAAGGCCACCCTCACGTGCTGGGCATGGCCCGGCCTCATAGGATGGCTGTTGGGGGTGGGGGCAGGTCAGGGGCTGCTCGGCCTGGCCTTGCCCAAGGTTGCAGGGACTAGGAGTGTGGCAGACCAGCCCCTTTCTGTGTCTGAGGTGCTCAGCAATGAGACTCTGGCTCCATGGAGTTCTCTGCCACGTGAGGTGCTCACGGGAACAAGAGGTAAACGGAGGCCAAGGAGGGGCGAGGGGTGGCACCCAGGCTCACCTCAGCCAGCCCATCACGCCGAAGTTCTCCTTGAGCGGCATTCGATGCCTCTGCTGCAAAGGCCTGGCCCGTCTCTTCAATGGGAACATGGCGTATCTGGGGAACACAGTTCACATCTCAAGAAATCGTGCTGCCAGTCATGAAATTCTTTTCTGCCCTTTGCTACTGCTGGGCACAATAAGGCAAGTAGCTGGTGACGCCCTGCAGACATGGCGGTGGCTGGCGTGGCCAGCGTGGCCCTACGGATACAGCGAGGTGCTTGGGCCTCAGGGTAGGTCGCTGGGAGGCAGCTGGTGCAGTGGAACAAGACCAGACGATGCTGTGCTGTTTGAGCCCCTCAGAGGAAGACATGTGGCTCTGTCAGCCGGGAGGGGGCAGAGCTCGCCCTGGTCATGGCCCCCACCCGCTGTCCACGGGCACGGAGGTCTGCAGGCGTCTCTTCCTCCTGGGCCCGGGAACGGCTGCTGCAGAAGCAGGGGCTCCCTTGTGGCCTCTCTAGGGGCCCAGCCTCACCAGAACCTGCATTAGGTTAGCGCCTGCTGCCCTCTCCAGCCCGTAGGGTACCGAGCTGCATCATACCCTTGGTGGTAGTGTCACCTACAGGGAAACTCAGGAAAATCCAGGGGAGTGAGTCCCCTTCGTCCGTTGGAAGTGAGCCCTGACTGTGACCACTGCACTCCCATCACTCATGGGACCCAGAGGTCCATAGGTAGGGAAAACTGAGGTAGGAGCAAATAGCAGAAAGCTCCCCATTTCTCTCTGTGATTACTCTAAAGCCTGGATTCCTCAGGCGCTTAACTAAAATCTGGTTATTGAAGTCATGATGTATGGAAAACCATCACCATCTAGATCGGGAGATACTTCCCACTGTTACATTCTGTATACAGTAGGTACATAATATCTAGTACCGGGTGCTACTTCCTGCTGCTATGTTCTGTATACAGTAGTTATATAACATCTAGTCTTACATCCAGGAAGGACGAGGGATTCGCTAGGCACTCCTGCACTATCTGCTAACACCCAGTAAGCATCATAGTTGAGCTGGTTTTGAATCGGATCAGCCACTACCATGAGGATGAGCTGCCATGTTGCCCAGAGGAGGACCGTGGCCTGGGCAGCCCCGAAGCAGGTCCCGTGGCGCAGGAGTGAGGAGCAAGCTCGGCTGCAGGATGATGAGAGTCACGTTATTCCCTTTAAACCGTAGATACTGTTTTTCCCTCGTTTTTGTGGTTTCCTCCACCAGTAATGCATACTCTGATTGTGAAAAAAGCCACCTCTTTTAAAATATTATTTTAAGTTATTATCAGAGAGACAGAGAAGTAGAGAAAGAATGCCACCTCTTTTAAAATATCATTAAATGATCTGTATCTGTAAGAAATGACGTCGGTGAGACTTACCTTGGTAATCAATTCACAATGTATCTAAGCCAAATCATTGTGATGTGTGCCTTGAATTGATATGATGCTGTATGCCAATTATTTCTCAATAAAACTAGACAAAAGGTAAAACAGTGTTTAAAGGGGATGAGATCTCACAAATAGAGGGAATACAGCTGTGTCCTTTGAAATATGCACATGAATCTTTATGTCCCTGGGCAGCGATCAGGTCTTGCAGGCACAGCTGACCAGCCCGGGGTTTACAAAGCTGTTTGCTGTCTCCCAAGCCCCTGTTTCAATACCCCTTTCTGCAGCTACATCCTAAATTTTCGTCTGTCCCAAACTCTCGGGAATTCTCCAGCAAATCTTGTCTCCTGAGAGCTGTAATGAGAGTGTGAGAGCAGCTGTCTGGTTCTGGTTTCGTGGACTGTACGCGGCAAACGGTTTTGCTTCGTGGAGAGCGATATTCGGCCATTTTCCACATCCCTTGGGACAGGAAGTTGCAGGGAAGGAGGTGAGATTGGGGAGCTTTTTGTCCAGGGGCATTTGGATCCCTTTCAAATTCTGCCACAAAACACTTGAATTGTGGAGCAGGTTACCAGGGACACTGGACTCTGCTTTAAAATAATTTCTTCCACATTAAGAACAGGATGGAATTATTTTTGTATAGACTGGCTTGAGTAGACACCGAGTGGATTTAGGGGGTTAGTGAGCAAGGTCAACAGTGGTTGGTCTGGGAGACAGCAGGCCTGGGGGCGGAGGGAGACCCTTACCCCTTTCCTGAGGCCCCCAGGTCCTCTGCCTCTTAGCTGACTGAGAATCTGCAAGTTAAAGTCCTCGACCCTTAGATTACAAAATATTTTCTGTTGAGAAGTGCTGTTGTGCGGGGCATCGGATTATTATGTAGGATATTTACATTTAGCTAGAAATATTAAAGCCCGAATAGTTACATCAGAAACATTAGTGGAATATTATCATTTCTAGGCAAAAGTACAAAACATGTTTTGACTCCTTGCAGAAACACATGATAAGAGGAAGCTGAGGATGGAAGACCGTTCAGCCTTTTAAGAAATCTCAGAAAGGCAGGGCCCCAAGGCTTTAGGGGAAAACCACGCGTGGCCCCTTTTCACAGCCCGAGGCTTCTTGCAAAAGCAGAACCCTGTGTTCTTTTTTTTTTTTTTTAATTTTTTTTTTCAATGTTTTTTTTATTTATTAATAGAAGAGAGAGAGAGAGAGAGGCAGCGTGAGCATGGGAGGGTCAGAGAGAGAGGGAGTCACAGATTGAAACAGGCTCCAGGCTCTGAGCTGGCAGTCAGCACAGAGCCCGACGCGGGGCTCGAACCCACGAACCGCGAGATCATGACCTAAGTGAAAGTCGGACGCTTAACCGACTAAGCCACCCAGGCGCCCCTAGAACCCTGTGTTCTGAAGCCTGGAAGCCGTGCCGCGTCCGCCAGCGGCAGGAGGGGAGGAGCCGGCGCGGGCTGCCGCGGAGAACCAGGTCCTCTGCGAAACTTCCAAGTGCACGTGGCTCCGTTTCACCGAATCAGGGCTGCCGGGGCCGGCGCGTCGCTTCGGGGCCGGGCCCACGGGGCACGTGCCGCAGACCCCGCGTGGCCGCGGGCGGGCCGGGCGCCTCCCCGAGGTCGGTGCTGCCGCGGGCGCGCGGGGTTCCTCGCGGAGAAGGCGCCGCCTTCCGCCAGGTGTCGCGAGGGCCGGCGGCGTCTGCAAGCGTGTGTTGCCGTCCGTCCCGTGCGGTCCTTTCCGACGGTGCCGGCCGCGCGTCTCCCACGGTGGTAGTTACAGCCCAGAAACAGGAAGCTTGTCCTCAAGGTGTCGTACGGTTTACGTCTTTGGTGTAAGTGATGGTTTGCGTGTCAGCCTCACGTTCAAGACCGCGAGGCCGCAGCCGGCCCGGGACGCGGACGCGCCTCAGCGGGTCCCGCCGGGCGGCCGGGCTCCCTGTTGGCCTTCGGGAGGGGAGGGCGTGGTGGCGGCGCGGGAGGACGTCGCTGCGTCGCGCCGTTTCGCGCTGGCGGGCAGAGCGCGCAAGGCCTGCGGTGCGTCGCTCGAACGTCTGCGTGTAACGGACGTCGCAAGCGCTCGCGTTACTCGCCAGCCTCGCGGCTTCCCGCGCTCGTCTACACACGCGGCCCCTCACCCTTTCCTGTGGGACGACACCCAGCCCCACCGCGTTTCTGGCAGAACTCTGTGTTACTTTGAAGACATGCCCTCCTTAGTTCCAGTTCCTTCGCTGTCCCCACACAGTGATGCACGTGTCGCTGAAGAAGCTGACGTGTTGTTTATTACAGAGTGTCAGGTCTGGCCCACTGCCGAGCAACGGCGGTAGGAACACTCTGGCTTCCTAGCTTAGGGCTTGTGACTGCAGCTGACATTGTCACCCCTGGGTCCTAGGTGGCTTGTTTAACCAGAACGTGACAGGCTCTGCGACCCATTGGAGGTGGAAGGAAGCTTGTATGACGACTATGGATGGCCACTTGGCAGCCAGCGATAATTTATTCCTTCTTTCCCCCCTCAGGTTCCGTAAATGAAAAGCTGCCCCAACGGGAAGGCACGGGAAAAACAGGTAACTATCTTAAATTAAATTTTCATGATGATGATATATCACAGCTAATTCAGTCGATGCCTTAAGATAGCTTCTCAAGTTAAAATTTAAATGTGGACTAAATGATAGGAGAGCTGACGCAGTTTGTTATGTATTCGTTCAACACTGTTTTATTCCTCCCTTCGGACCGCCAGGGTCCTGTAGGTGTGAGGCGCGTAACCCACGCCCGCCCGTGGGAGGGCCCTTCTGACGTGGCCTGTGTCGGGGCCACCAGTATGTGTTGCCTGGTGCCACAGTGTTTGCCCGGGGAGGGGCTCCCGTGTAATTCAGGAGTGTAGCAATCCTGAGGGCTGCTGGGAAAGAGGTGTCAACTCTTCCTTGTGAGAAAGAGGGGTACTCTTTCCCATGTGTGACAGTCATGTCCCCTGGGACTGGTAGCAACAGGTGGAACAGCAAGCCGTTTCCGTAGCGGTGGCTTCATTCCACACAGGCTACGGTGCGCCCACCATGACCTTCCATGGGCCCCACCTTCGCCCTTCCCACAGCACATCCTTTAGACCCAGGGACACGTTTTTGCCTTTATGTCATGTCGACCTTTAATGTCAGAAGTCGTTTTCAAGACAGAATTAAAAAAATGTTTTAATACCAACATTTCAGGCAACTCTTTTTCTGATGTAGGTTATAGTATATGAACCAGTAATAAAGAAAAGTGACCTAAAGCGGAGTAGTGTGGAGTTTCACTCAAGCGCATTCCCTTTGGTGTGGCCTGAGACCAGGGTGGGCCCCGCCGCTGCCCTAGGAGGATGTCAGAGTCCCCAGGCGTGCCTCGGGTGGGCACTGGGCACAGGCACCGCATGGCACACGAGTGGTCTCATGAAAGGGGAGGTGGTGGTGGCCACGGAGGCTGTGGAGTAGGGGACACGCATAATGTACAACAGAAGAGCCTCATAATTGAGGAAAATGACAGGAAGTCATAGAACACTGGCTGGAGCGAGGGTGTATGTTTGGAAAAGGCGATAAAGTCGCGCAGAACAGCTTGGATTTGAGTCTAAGATCCTGGAGAGGGCATGTCAGTATTTTTTAGAGACGAGGAAGGGACAGTATTCGTGATTGCAAACGTCAATCCAGTGCTCAGGGGAGGAGGAAAGGGAAGGAAACGCCATTTCAGAGGGCGTTTCCTAAACCTGTTCCTGTGCGACACATGTCGAATCCTCTGTAAAAGTTAAACGAATATCCCTAGGGAATTGGCATGTGGGCACAGAAGTTAACGTAAGGCAGGAATACACTCCTTTTTACTGAAGCCTCTTGACCTATGGACGCGCACACAACAGAGAAAATCCCTGAGATTAGGCGGCAAAGCTGGCTTGTGGATCAAAACGAGACGTTACAGACTCTAGTGAGGAAAATAAAAGGCACACGGCCCTCCGTGGTTTTGTTTCATTGTCTCCAGGCCGAGTTCAGTAGGTGCCAGTGTGTCAGTTACATTGGGGCAAAAGTCAGCCAGGGACCAGAGCATGGCCGGTGGGGCGAGCAGGGTCACGGTGACAGAGAAGGGCTCCCCGTGCTGGCGCTGGGGGGTGAGGGAAGGCCTGTGGGCGGTCACTGGGGTGCCCCACGCCTTGCTCGCCGTGTGCAGGCCAGTCTGAGCTTTCAGGCTCCCAGGGATTTTGGGAACAGGCTGGCGGCCCCACAGCGGTGACCTGCCCGGGCCTCGGTGAAAATGTACAGCGCTCACTACGTGTGTGGCCCCTGTAGATGTGTTCCCGTGTCACCGTGGTGTGTGGAAGGGATTTTACATGAGCTTCAGCGGCTCAGAGTGACCATTAGTGTTACAACCTGAGTTTCTCAAACAGGTGACCTTACGTTCTGTCGGCGTCTTGACAGAGAGCCGGCCTTTTCTCAAATGATCGTTCAATGTTAAAGTTTTTTAAAAAAGCTTTCTGGTCTGCCTCCCAAAAGAACTTATGAGAAACTTCATTTTTATTCCTCAGACATCTGGGGGAGTCCTGAATCACAGATAAGCCCCGTGGCTGGCCCTCATCTACAGCACTGTTTATTGTATTTTAATCCTCAAATTATTATATAACAAGGTCACATGGGCAGGCTCCAGTGAGAAACAACTGGCTGGCTCCCAGGGCCCCGCAAACTGCCTTGTGGTTGTGTCCCTGGCAGGGGCCCCCGCTTATCGGGGGCCGACTTCCAGCAGCTCACTCTCCACACCATCCTGCCATGTCTTGGAACTCTCTAGAACCTGACCTTGTACCAGGGAACCATAGTCTCTCTACTAATTAAATAAAACGAATCCAGGGGAGCCTATGCCGCCAGAGAAATGGCGTGGAGCGGCTCCGTCACCCATACCGCGTCCCGCTCTGTGATGTTGACTCTTGTTCCCCAGCTCCTGCAGGGGTGACGGAGGGGCTGGTGGTGCAGGGTTGCACAGGGCAGCAAGTCAGGGCCTGATCCTTAGATACCTGCCCTCCACTCGGGAAAATGGGGTGAGGGGCAGAGCAGGGGTACCTGGGCTCCTCCTCCCCCAGCCCCCATTCCCCAGCCCCCCAGCCCAGCCTCCATCTCTCCTGTCTTCGGTCATCCCAACCCACTGACTCTGTTGACATGTCCCCCTTCCCACTACTGTGACCCCTTGCTTGGGTCATTCCTGTCTCTCCCTCACCTGCCCTGAATGGCTCGGCTCCGAGGGGCGGGAACCCCAACACCCACCACTGGCTGGGTTTCCAGCTGGTACAAGCTCCCAGGTGGCCCCTCACCCATGCGCCCTGTACCATTTTAGCCACACCATTGCCAGCCCTGCTGCCCTGGGCCCCCGGGGGGTGGTTTGGTTGGTGTTGGGGCGTATGCAAGCCCTCAGCTTCCATCCTGTATGCGCACTTACTGAACTTACTCTCATAATTGTAGTCTCCTTGCAAATCTTTTCCGTTCTGAATTCAGATGATGCCTCAGCTCCAGCGCTGGAGACGCAGCCTCAAGGAGATGAAGAAGGTGAGCCCGGCCCAAAACAGGGTCTTGCTGGGGGAGGACGTGGATGCGCGTGGGGGGAAGACGTGGATGTGTGCGGGGTGAGGACGGCGGGCGTGTGCGGGGGCAGTCATGGGCATGGGAGGCGCAGGCGAGTCACCTGCTGGGAGTCCACTCCAGGTGGACCGGATTTGGCCACTTCCAACTTTCTGACACCTGCTGTCCTTCACGGTGGCTTCAGAGCATGGCTAGAGAATGTGGCCATGCTGCTGTCATACAGCACAGTGCAAAGGTCTTTTTTTTTTTCCAAATCAAAATCTAGGAGTTGAGATTTTATAATTTGGATAATATAAAGGATACATTTCAGAAGTGTGCAATAACACATGCCTTGTTCCCTGTTCCGATTCCACGTCTGTCGCGTCTCGAGCTTGCCACGATGCAGTATGTGAGGCAAGCTGTAAGGCCACAGGCATGAGGGTGTGTCTCAGGTGTTCTGGATTTTATAGTCATGGCAAAGAGGAATTGTCTTATTCTTAGCCTTTAATAAATTGTCTGAAGCGTTTGCCAAAGTGTCACACGTTGTCAGGCCAGAAGGAGAGGGTTGAAGACAAGGTATAAGGAATGCACATAATAACTGAAGCAGAGGATGAGACGTGGAGCCACATGGTGGTGAGCACGTAACAGTGACAGTGGTGACAGATGTCTGCACGGCACTAAGTGCTCCCCGGTGTCATTGGCCCCCCGAGTTTTCAGATGCCGTTTTGCAGGCGAGAACACAGACGGAACTTGTCTGAGCTTCTAGGCTGAGGGCGGCCGAGGGTGCCTTGGACCAAGGCGGCCTCCTCCGAGTGTCCTTGGGCCCATGGGGTGACCGACCCGCCAGGCTAATACTCGGTGTTTGTGAAACAGTGCTGCCAAAAACGATGGGTTCCTGAAACGTCTTACACAAAGTTGTATTTTACGTAGTGTAGTTTGTAATGAGTCTTTCCCGAGTGAAAGCTCATGTGTTACACGAATACCCCTCTTTACACCAGGAGGGCATGTTTCTGTACCTCCGGGATTTTCCCTGAAACCCACTCCGTTTAGGTGGAGCCACTCTGGATTCACAGAAATTTTACTTACACTTCTGGAAGAGGAAGGAAAAAAAATGTATACTAAAATTTTATAACTGTATATTATTCTTCTCTTTTGTCTCAAATATGTAATCTGTTTAGTGGTATCTTTAAAAATGTAGAATATGTATTGATTTAGCACACTGACTTTTTGGCTTTTAGGCTCCCTGCTGAGGTCTTTAATTGAGAGACTGTGTTTTCATGATGAATTAAAAACAATTATCATTTTGTTTTGGTTTATTAGATATTGCGTCACGTTACCCCACGCTCTGGACTGAACAAGTTAAGAGTCGGCAGAACAAAACCAGTAAGAATTCAGGTAAAAAGGGGCCCAACATTACTTTGTGAGGAGGGATTTAATCGACGTAAGGAAGTGGTTTTGCTTTCTGGAAGTTCAGTGCAGATAGTACATCTTTGCCCTAAGTTTCCAATGAGTCATGCAAATAATTCCTGTGACTTGACCACCAAAATGTAGTCAGATTTTGGTGGTTTTATTAAATTTCCTAAGTTCTCTAAAAGGTTTCTCTGAATATGCCAAACAGACTATAGCTTTAGGTATAAAAATAGCAATAATTGATAATAAGTATTTGCTTTTGACCAAATTTCAGAGATGACCAAACCCTTGGCTAATTTAGTTTAAAATCCTGAAAGCTACGTGGATTGCATTTGCTGCAAAGGAGTGTTTGACAGACTTTTATGTTTTAAATCTGACCATCCTGACATTTGTGGAGAGGCGGTGGGTGGCCTGGTGTCTGGTTAGCAACGTTTACAGCTTTCGTGAAAGTGGACTCTTTGCTGTGATCTCTGTTCGTGCTTAGTGGTTGAACGTGCGCTTCCTCTGGCCTTTTCGAACATTGCTTTTTTTTTGTTTGTTTAAATACAACTGAAAGGAAGTGTCCTTCTGGGTTTAAACTATTCATCTGCTGAGGGTCCACAGACTCAGTAAGAACGCGAATGTTCTGTGATCAGCCTCCAGTGAAAAGCTCGTAAATGTTCACAGAGGCAGCCTGAGATCATAGCCCTGTGTGCGGCCTGTGCTTGTATGCGCTTCTTCCAAGTGTGTTTTAATGTCTATTTATAAAAAACAAAAATAATAACAAACACCTCAAGAATTTCTCAAAGTTCAGGCTACTAAGGGTACTTTGATTCTCTCCTCCCCCTTGTGTCCTTTCACTCACCCCTGGAGGGACCCTTGCAGGGAGGCCCTGAGTCCTGGTATTTTCCCGCCACTGGGACATACTCCGTGTGGCTGGAACAGCCACCAATTTACAGCCTGAAAGGCAGCAGGAGGGATGAGCCGTGAAGTCCCCAGAGGAGGGTTTGGGATGGAGCATGTGCGGTTTTCGTCCGTGACGCTCCCATCACTGTCCCCAGCCCCACGTCAGCTGCTCGGCTCCTGTTGTTACTGCCCAGGCCGGGCCCTCATCCCTCCTGGCTGCCGCTCCCACGGGGCTGAGGTGAGAATGGGAAAGATCCCAAGGTCTGACCGTCCGTGTGCACAAATGGCAGGGAAATAGATCTAAATCGTATTTATCGAATTTGGAAATTATTTTCTCAGAAATGATTGGGAAACGTTTTTCCTTTTGTATAAAGATACATATTCTCTTAGGAACTTCAGAATTGGGGACTTGATTTTGTTCGATCATGTCACCGTATTTCCAAAAGTTAGCCCATTAGATTTACTTCCGAAGTGCACGGTGGGTGGGTGGGAAATGAATGAAGCATGGCACGTTTCAGATTGATGGGTCTTGGAAGCTTCTTGCGCAGGGACAGTGGACAGTCCCCGAGCTTCTCCTGGGGCACACATATAAAAGTATTCTGGAAGAGGTCACTAGAAATGTGCATTTTTCTAGAAAAACAGTTTGGATTGTCGGAGGAAACAATTCCAGGTTTTGATAGAGTGCGTACGTCAGCTCGTGGAACAAGCACATTTTTGTGTCTCCCTCATCATGAGCTGTTCCCAGATTTTCAGGCCTTAAGTGACCTGTCAGTTATGATTAACCGACAGTAATAGTGCAGGCTCCCACCATGCAGGGGGACTGAAGGTGATGTTTCAGGAAGGGCCAGTTTGCAGAAGTTTCCCCATGGATAATTGGATTTAAATCCACCTAAACGGGCAGAACACAGAAAGACGACGGTGGGTTGACTTGCGGATGTGGGCACGGAATTACCAGATGCCGTCTGTGGTGCATACCGGTTGTCTGGACACGTGTTCTCTCCGAGGGTCTGAAGACGGTCAGATCTTTTGCAATGTTAAAAATAGTATTTAATTAAGTGTAACAATGAAACGGCAGACAGCTGTAGGGTTTGCATAATGACCACTGTGGTTGAGATCTTAAATGTAAAATGAGCCTCACCACTTGTGTTTAGTTTTTATTTTTAACAGATACTTTTACTGATGATCGCCGACAGAATTAGGCACATTTATTTAACAAAGCACGAGTGGTGATGTGTGTATTTTCTGGATTTTTAAAAATTTAGTTGTTTGTCTTTAACTCTTTTGTGTCCTTTTCCAGAAGAGGCCAGACTGGGAATGGGTTTTTTTTATCAGTAAAAAGCCCCTCTATTTTTGCTTCATGAGGCTGTGTTAACACAACATAATATTACCCGTGCTACTGAGTACGTAGAATATGGTGGCCATGCGTGATGAGTGTGTTCTGTGTCCCTGTGGTCAGTACACTTGGGGTACTTGGTGGTAGGAGTCACCAGAAGGGACCGTTCCTGCAAAGGTAAATGTAGCACCCTAGTCTGAGAATGTGCACGTGCTGGGCACTCCGTACGTGCGTATTAAATCAGTAAGAATTTCACCCTCATGTGTTCATCGGTACTCTTGACGGTTTCATTACTTATTTTCCTAAAACAAACTACATGAAGCCAACACCAAAACCGAATAGATGAAAAACTAGAAAACAGAATTATTCTAAGTACAGTTTGACTACTGACTTTTATTAATTGAAACACAATATAAACAGATGACGAGGTCTCCTGGTGGATCATTTAGCAAGACGGGCATCACTTGTGAGTCATTACACATTAAATTAATGAGTGAAACCTAAACCTGTATTTTAGTGAAGAAAGTGTTACTCAGTTTTCTCTTTCAATATAAAATTGAGACTGTCAGGGCACCTGGGTGGCTCAGTCGTTAAACCTCCGACTTCAGGACAGGTCATGATCTCAGTGTTCGTGAGTTCGAGCCCGGCCTCGGGCTCTGTGCTGACAGTTCAGAGCCTGGAGCTGCTTCAGATTCTGTGTCTCCCTCTCTCTCTGCCCCTCCCCAGCTCATGCTCTGTCTCTCTTGCTCACAAAAATAAAATGTAAACAAAAATTAAAAAAATTTAGAGTGTCAACTATTTTCTTGAATCATTTTATTATATTTTATTTCTATCTAACAAGATATAAAAGTTTATCACAAATTTTTACCAGAGGTTTTGTGATATACTGTATTTAAATTATAGAAGATTGATTTATAGAATGTAAAAGGAGTAAGAGATGGTTTTTCAACATGAAATTTCTCTGAAAATACTTTCATATTAGAAAACAGGAAGTTAGTGTTCTTTGAAGTCTGTGGCACTGATTAGAGCAGAAAAGAAGTTCAGGGAACGGGTAGATTTAGGTGATTAGGATCATGCGGTTTTAGAACTAGAAGAGACCCTAAATGTCGTGTAGCCCAGCCCCCTCATTTTATAAATCAAAGGAAAAGGAAACTCAAAATACCCAGTCTTGAGAAATGAAGAAGCCTGTTCATCGCCGCAGCTCAGGGGAGTGACTTCGTGCCCCTTCTGTGATCCCCTGGTGAACCCCAGGTGTCAGCCCCGCAGGTGCGGGTCCGGGAGGAGAGCGCTGGCCCGCACAGGCCGGCCGGGGGCCCGGGCTCGTGAGCGCACAGGGCTGCGTGCAGGGGGTCATGGGTGTGCGTGAGGCTGCGTGCGGGGCCCGGGGATCGTGAGTGTGTGTGAGGCCGGTGCAGGGGCCAGGGGTGTGCGTGAGGCCGGTTGCGGGGCCCGGGGATCGTGAGTGTGTGTGAGGCCGGTGTGGGGGCCGGGGGTGTGTGTGAGGCCGGTGCAGGGCCCGGGGGTCGTGGGTGTGCGTGAGGCTGGTGCGGGGCCCGGGGGTCGTGGGTGTGCGTGAGGCCGGTGCGGGGGCCGGGGGTCGTGGGTGTGCGTGAGGCCAGTGCGGGGCCCGGGCATCGTGAGTGTGTGTGAGGCCGGTGCGGGGGCCGGGGATGTGCGTGATGCCGGGTGCGGGGCCCGGGGATCGTGAGTGTGTGTGAGGCCGGTGTGGGGGCCGGGGGTGTGTGTGAGGCCGGTGCGGGGCCCGAGGGTCGTGGGTGTGCGTGAGGCCGCGTGCGGGGCCCGGGCATTGTGAGTGTGTGTGAGGCCAGTGCGGGGGCCGGGGGTGTGCGTGAGGCTGGTGCGGGCCCGGGGGTCGTGGGTGTGTGTGAGGCCGGTGCGGGGCCGGGGGTCATGAGTGCCCACGGGGTTGCATGGGGGGGTGGGGGCCGTGCAGGCCCAGCACGAAGCCTGCGGAGCAGCCCCGCGGCAGCCAGAAGTGGGGGGCTGGGGCTCCAGGGTCTGTCGGAGCCGCGTCGGGACCCGCTGCACCGGGAGAGGCCCGTGCAACCTTGTCACATGGAGTCCACGGGCCCACCGCCCCCCCCCCACGGCTTCGTGCGCGTGCACCACCCCGGCCTCCCCACGGCCTGCGCTCTTGCGGTTCTCGGCCTGGTGGGTCCCGCCTGGGGGCCTCTGTTAGCTCCCTGCTCTGGGGGAAGGTGTGGGATCACGACCTTTATGTTGAGGTGAAGAGTTGACCCAGGCACCGTCCATGCCGCGGCCTGTCTGCGTGGCCCAGGCAGCAGCCCTTGGGTGGGGGGGCTCTCCCACTGGGTCAGCCGGGGGTCGTGTCCCATCCCAAGCTGGCCACGCTCCGACAGCCCAGGGCCGGCGCAGGGCCAGCCCTTCGGAGACCCCAGGGAGGGCCCCCCAGTGTCCCCACTGGCCGTGCTGGAGGCCTCTGCTTTCACCGACTTCTCCGCGTTTGGTCTTTTCGAGCTGTGCATGCGAGCCAAGGGCACACGGGCCTGTCTTATCGTCTCTGACGTCCCCTCCTACTCGGGAGAAAAATGTTCCTTCCTCCCCGAGCTCCCAAATGCTCTGTTTTATATCCAGGAGGCGTCCCGATGCCAGGATGCGCCGTTCTCCGGCACCCCCGCGGTGGAAACATTCTTCTGCTTGCTTCAGGGTGATAATTTTTGCTTTATTGCACATATTAAAATTAGTGCCAAAGATAATTATCTTTTGATTCTGTTTTAAATCATGG